ACATCTCCTCCATGTATATATATGAAATGCATCCAACCTACAACCCACAAACCCATATATCTCTCTCTCTTTCTCTGTATATATATGAAATGAGGTTGAGATCCTTTATCCCGGTTCTCTATCCCTTCCTTTTGTCCCATAATTTCATCTTGCCACATGTCCAAAAGAAGAAGAAAAAAAACCATTTCTTTTTTCTCTCCTCACTTCATCTTTCTGCTATTATTTATTTTACTTCTTTCACAGCTACTCAGTTCCTCTCTCTTTCTGCCATTCCTCTATTGCCACTTCTCTTTTCTCTGTCTCAATTGTCGCACTATATTTTTTTTGGCTTCCCCTCCTCTCCCTCTGTTCTTCTCTTCTATTTTAAACCCAAATCACAACCATTAAAAAAGAAATCCATATTCAAACCCAAAAGGAAATAAAATAAATTAGATCAAGAACTAAATCTTTCAATCCAACTAAGACATGATTGCAAGTCTACATTCTGAAATATAGATTCAGCCATGAAAAAATAGAAATAAAAATCATGCACTCAAACCCACAATAGAGTAAAGAAATACATCTCAAATCACATAAAGACCCAAATCAAAAAATCTCAAACCACATGAAAATATTTTTTCATTTGATTAGTTGCTTATTGTAGACACCCCATTTTTGATGGCCCTTCAAGACTTGGATGTTCTTGCAGGTACATCCAATAATGAGTCTGTTTGCTGGCCAAGCGCTCGAAGTCCTCAGCAGAACGTCACAGCTTTGAGCCTTTCAAATCCTGCATTCATTTTGTCTCATTTTTGGACCATGCCTTAGTCTTTCCATCCTGCAAACTCTGGTGGCTTGCCGACCATCATTTCTTGTCTATCGGCCATTGTTGTGCCTTGCCGGCCATCACTGATGGCCGACCGGCCACCGGTGTTTTCTGTAGATATTTTATGCCAACTATGCCAGCTGTTTGCACAGATGCTTGCATTTGTCCACATGTAAAAAGCTGGATCTCCTTCTATAGATTTCATGTTTTCTATATATAGGGACCCCCTCTCTCATGTTTTGGGGTTAGAAAATTTTAGACTAAAAAATTTTCCTCTCTCTCTACAATTCTCTCTCTCTCTCTCTCTACAAATTTTCTACGCTTTTGCCTACAAATCCTACACTCTTACCTATACACCCTTAACCAAATCCTCTCATCTCTGAGCTGAGGTGTTCTTGGGCTTGGTTTGAGCTCTAGAAGGTGGCATTTGCTTAGAATTGTTGTTTGGAATCACTCTTCTCTTCAAGAGGTATAATACTAGCTTTGTAGGCTTGCTTTACATACTTGTATTCCTTTTTTCTTTTCTTTTTTCTCATTGTTTTGGGCAGTTTTTGAGCTATAAAAAAAACTATTTTTATGGGTTGAAATTGGTGTTTTTGGCTATTTAAGGTTAGGGGGTGGTTCATCCCTCTTTATTCCTTGTTGTTAAGGCCATTTTACCTTTGTTTCTAAGGCCATTTTACCTTTGTTTCCCATTTTCAAACCATCTTTTTCTGGGCCTTTAAACACTGGTTTTTAGAGTATTTTTAGTGGTAAAAATCTGGTTTTGAAGTCCAAATTTGGAGGGGTTAGACTCCCCTCCTTGTGTCTTGTTTGCTAGCCTAGTTGGTGCCATGCTTTAGCTTAATTTTCTAGCTTGTGGTAGCTTTATTCCAGCATGTTTTAAGCTCTATTTTGGACTGTTTTTACTCTGTTTTGGGTTGGTTGTTGAATTTGAGTCTTGTATTGCATAGTTGTAGTGTAATAGTCCTCACAAGTTTAGTGTTTTAGGCCTTTAGACATCACTTGCTTGAGTTGATTGTATGTTTTTGGTGCTTTTCACACTTAATTTCATCACTAATCATCTCTGCAACCTCCCTCCTTTCTTGGCTTTTTCTTTTGCTTTGAAAGTGGTTTCAAGTCATTTGTTTGTCTAAGTGTGAAATTGAGGTTTCATACTTAATGGTTTAATCCCTTAGGGGGTTCATTACCAATGGTATGATACTTATTTTATACCCAAAGCAACTTGTGTTTTGAGCCTTCTTTTCATTAGAGGACTTTAATTCACATTTGGACTTAATTGGATTAAAGAATGGTTGGTAAGTTAAAAAGAGTAATTAAAACTTAGGATTAAAAGTGAGCAAGATAATAACTTGTGTGTTATGTGTTCAATTGGACGTTAATTGAACACAAGGAAAATTGGGACATTTCATACTCAAAGTGATGAAATGTGTTAAGTTTCTTAGGTCTCCATTGCCCTTGATCATGTATGATAGGGTGATGGTTCTTGTGTGTCTCATTTTACATTTATTAAACTTGCACATTTTGAGTCACAAGCCATCAAGCAATGAAATTGTTTGAGTTGGTGGTCTGTAACTTAAGTTCACAACTCTTTGGATTTGTACATGAAAAGGAGGAGTGAGTTGTGCAAACAATCTGTGGGAATATACCCTCTTTTTACTCTATTTGTCATCTATTGTAGTAAGATGAACTAGTGCATCAGTGGCTGCCAGGCCACTATCCATGGTCGGCAGGTGGCCAGCAGTGCACCATTGATGGCCGATAGGTGGCCGACAAACTTTACCAGTAGTCGGCTGGCCACTGATGCAAACCTCAGCAGAGTATTGGTAAGGCGAAACAAAATTGTTCTGGAAATGTTCAATTGTGCAAACAGAGGCTTTCGAGAGCAAAGCGGAGGTCTTTTCGGGTGAAAACCGAGCATGCGCATGCATATCTTTCATTTCCCGAGGCGAAGCAACTAATTAGCTTAGTCTAATTACTTAATTTAATTATTAATTGCAATTGTTTTGTAATTATTTAAATTAGTTAGTTAGCTAATTAGTTCATTTGTTGTTGTAATAATTAGTTTAGCTAGTTATTTATTTTGGTTTGTAATAATTAGCTTAATTAGCATAATTAACTTAGCTAAGTTAGCTTAGCTTTTATTCATTCGGACTCTCCTTCGTGAGAGTTAAATATAATAATGTGTATGTTTTCCAACCTCACGTCTTTCTCTTTTTTACTTAACCGCTTTTGATGGTTAGTTTAGGAGCATTACATATTTCAATTAGCATAACTTATGCTTGCTCCATTCATTCGTATTGCATGCACCGAGGCTCGACGCATCATTCTAACTGCATTGTCATTTCAATACTTCATTGAATACATGTTTAACCACATGTTATTTAATTGGATCACATATCATATTAGTAGCCGAGCCTATTAATTACATTCTTCGCATGTATTGCATTAGACAATTGGCATAGTTAGGAATCATGCATATTTCATATCTTCTTAGCTTGGAGTACTAGGTGAGTTTTTAGTGCTTTAGCATATTTGCATGAGTGTGAGTGATTTGCCATGTCTAGCATGCTTGCTATGAGGCTAAATACTTACTTGATAAATTGCTTGAATGCCTGTGGATTGAGGCTTGTTGTTTAAATTGGAACGATTCAACGAATGTATGTTTTAAGCCCGCTATGTCTAGTGGCAAATTCACAGTTTTAAGCCCACTTTGTTGAGTGACAAAATTCACAAACTTTAAGCCCACTTGAGGTGGCAAAATTCAAACCATTTTCACAAAACAAACATGAAATTGAATTGTTCCAATTTGAGCAAACTAGTCTATACTTGCTTGTACGCATCACATAGTAAAGCTAGCCTAAAAACCGGAACAAGAGCACATAATGTACAAAAAAATCATATCATAATTAGTAGAAGACGATCTTTGATCGGGCAAGTGAGGGTGCTTAATTCATGACATTTTCCTCTCGTACCTAAGTTCTCGAGCCGAGGCAACCTTGGTAATGACAGATACGTGGCCTTTGGCACGAGTCATGGGCTTCCTAAATTTTCCCAAAATAAATATTTACGTGGCGATTCTATATCTGGCAAAGCAGTCTAATTTTGGCATATTGATCCCAAAATCGATTTTTCAAAAGATTTGCCAAATTTGGATTCTTTGTTGTTTATCAATTTCACATTGCACTTGTGAGATTAGATTCAGAACTACGGGAGTCCGAACTGTAGAGCTTCTTTCGAGCCTCCGAAAGAGGGGGCGAAAAGGTCGAGCTACACATATGAATAAAATAGAACTGCAAAAGTATTAATTTTGGTTCTTTTTTTGGCAACAAATCTGTCTATTGCCAAGGTGAAGGAGAGGAATAAATTGAGGGAAAAAGGAAGATGACGGAGAGGTGGTCTCACTGGTTTGTTTGATCAAACCCCCCTCTCTCTCTCTCTCTCTCTCTCTCTCTCTCTCCGTGTAAAGTGTGAGGGTAAATTGGTCACTTAAAACATTAAATTTGATGCCAAAACCTTTAATTTCAGTGCAGGCACATTTCTTTGGCGTCTCTGTCCCACGTACTGTTAAGTTTACCAGATTTCGTCACTTTTGCACTTCAGTCCAAATCACAGGGGTTTATAAATACATTTATCAACGTTAGAGAGATAATGTGAAAACGTGTGAAACCACAGGGGATAAAATGTAATTATCTCTTAATAATATGAATTGTTACATCTAAATCATAATTATTTTATTTTTTTTCTCCAAAAATTATAAAAAAATCAAAAATTCATTCAAAACGAAACTTTTTTAATATAGCTAAAATAGTCAAAAAAAAATCAAATTAATTTTTTTCCCCCTCTTCAAATGAACGCTAAATAGTATTCCCCAAGGCTTGGAGTATTACAGTTAATTTCACCTTTTTACATAATTAAGCTAACATCATTTTGTATTAATAAAGTGATCCAAACTAATGCATATAGTGAATAAATACTTAATTAAATAAAGATATATATATATTTTAGTCATTAAAATCTTAAAAAAATATAGTTATGTCAAAAATATCTGCTTCTTTTTTTGAAATCTCGTGAAGGTGTAAAACTATATAGTTTATATAATTTTATCAATAAAAGTTATAAAAAAAATATAATTGTAAACAAGTGATGTTTTTATGAAATATTTATAAATTCATAGAAAAAGTTATAAATTTAATCATTAAAATTGATGAACTTTTTCATCTATATAATTCTTTTCAGAAACTTGAAACCGCCTCTGCCGAGAGAGAGAGAGAGAGAGAGGAGGAGGAGAGCCGAAGCCCGAAGGATTCGCGAATTCCTTTTTCAGGTAATGCCATTGCCACCATCTCTCTCTTCTCTCTCTCTCTCCTTCTTCTTGGGCGATCCTTCTTTTATTTGATTTCGTGATCAGGAAAAAAACCACTCTGGTTTTGATCTATTTGGTTCAACAGAAAGAAAAAAACAAAAAACCCTACTTATGCTCTGTTGAGGAAGACACATATCTTTGTTTTTCAACTTCAAGAAACAACTACAATTGTCAAGCCCACATATCACATTATCAACAACTGTACCTACAAAAAAACAAATAACAAAAAAGAAGAGAAATGCTATTTATCCCCTATTTAATTTGTATTTATTTTTCATTTCCTACTGTTATTCATGTAATAAAAGTCCATGTTTATGTGTAGAATTCACTGTATTTGAAAAACAGTAAGACTCACCACCCAGATGAGAAACCAAATAGGTGGTGAAATATTTATTTTTTGTGTTTTTTTTAAATGGGAATTTTAGGGCTTTTTACTGGCAGTAGTTTCATGAACACATTTTGTTAGATGATGATTTGATGGATTGTAATGACATTTTATGGGTTGATGATACTTTTTCTCTTGGGGTTAAATAATTTATGTGTGCTTTTTGTTTTTCCTTTTTATGTCATTTTGATGGACTGTAATTCAATCTAATGCTGTTTCTATTACACTTTTTTTTGGTGTTTCCCTCATTTTGAAGATGTGTAGATTTTATTTCATGCCGAAACTCTCATAGAATTTATTTACAACCATGCTACATCCCACCAATATAGCATCCCTCGTCTAAACCTAATGACATATGAGGTAAGAGAGAGAATAAAGAGAGACAAAGAAAGGAGTGTGGGCCCACCCTTTCACATGGTTCGTTCCATGTCATTATGGGTGCCAAATTAGTGCTGCCAAACATTTTTCATTTATTTATGTGCGGTTTGGATATATGGTATATACACTTAATCGAAGGGAAAAAGAGAAAAACAACAGTTTCATACCTCTTTTTCCCCTATGCATCCGTTCTTCATGATTTGATTCAAAACCCATTGTCAATAGTTGCCAAGTCTTTCATATGCACCCATTCTTCTTGGTTCTAAAAAAGATCTGCAAAAAAACCAGTTGTCAACCATTGCTGAATCAATAGTTCAAAAAAAAAAAAAAAAAAAAACCATTGTTGAATCAATGATGCATTTGATCAATGTTGGCGAAATGGCCGGAGGTCTCGTCTCTTCCTCCCATGAGATCAGCTCTCTCTCTCTCTCTCTCTCTCTCTCTCTCTCTCTGTTTCGTAATGTACTACAATCTCTTTAGATATTTAATGGTACCTAGTGAGCTTGGTGTTTCCCTTCATTCTGTTATATTGATTGTACGTTGGGTTTTAAACAAAATTCGTTGTTTTGGGAGTTGGCTTTTTTAGTCGATTTTTGATTTTTTTACGAAAAGATATGCAAAAAAGTAGAGAGAAGAGTTGGCTTTTTTGTAGTGGCTTTTTGGCTAAAACTTGATGTTCCCAAAACAACCAGTGAAGTCTTTCAAAAACTGATTGTTGAAACATTTCCTTTAGCTGTTAGGTTTGTTTTGGTACAAGTGCGTAGTCCTTTTGATTAGTACTTCATATGCATATTTGTTCATTATGAAATCAATCTTACCAAAAAAGGGGGGAATACCCCCTGAAAACAAGTTTGTTTTTACTTCGGCCTATCTATATTGGAATTATTGAAGTGAATTTACTAAAAGGTCACAGTAACATGGTTCCCATAAACCAAAAACTAATAAACAACGACTATCAGTCAAAGAATTATATTCATAATAAAAGATACCGCATCCAAATACTGCAAGCATGTATCTTAGGAGGCAAATATTAGTTTGTGGAACTCAGACAAAATTCTAACTAAACTAACTAGAACAAAGCAACTTAACCATAGCTTTGAAATGTTGGATGGCATGTTGTTCATTGTCACATAGGAGTGTCAATGAAGAGATGATAAAATGGAATTGAATGAGAGATAAACTGCTGTGTTGATGCTAGAGAGCAAATACAAAACTTTTAACTATAAAATATAAAAAGTAAGATATGGTACAGAATGCAATTCCCCACCTTTTTGGAAAACTCTTCAAAGCATTATTTTTTAGAAGAAAGTTAAAAAATTGAATGTATGGAGAAATAACTGAAAATATACGGGCCTAGAAAGATAACTTATACAATCAGTTATCTCAGTGGCTTGTGAATGCAAAGATCTCTATCTCATATAAATAACATTGAGTGTGGGTTGGCTAGCATTAATCATCTCCATCACACCATGATGAGTGATCTATGAAATTAGATTAAATCATTTACTGAAATAAAGCTTTGTGTGGATGTCTTGACTCCAGTCTCACCGGTCCATATGGTGTTCTTCCACCCTATGTGATGTCTGTGCAGTGGTAAGTAATTAGATTGGGGAATAGAGTCAAGGTTCATAATTTTTTTTTATTTTATTTTAATTTTTGGTTGTTGAAATGGCGGAGATTCTATTAACTTTGGACGATATGCATTTCTCATGCTTCTATTAGTGTATTGCTTTGTCATATGTTCACTCACAGCAGCATACAAATGTGTGTTGTTCAACCTTTTACGGGGTCTCGTTGTAAGTGGATAATGATGTAAATCTGTTAAGTGGTTATACTGAGACCTGTTTCTGACTCAGTCCTACAGTTACTTCGTCATGGATTCAGAGGAAGCAGAGTATGCTGCATTCGAGGAGAAGGTTAGGAGGAATGTTTACATTGACAACCTCTCACCTCAGGTCACTGAAGCTGTGCTGAGAACAGCACTCAATCAATTTGGGAATGTTGAGAAAGTTCAGTTCATTCCAAATTACACAGAGCCAAGGAACATACCATGTTGTGCTTTGGTGGAGATGGAAAATTCAAAGCAGGCCAAACAAATTGTGTCGGAGATGGGTAATTTCCCATTCATGATGTCTGGGATGCCAAGGCCTGTCCGGGCTCGTGCTGCTGAAATGGAGATGTTTGATGACCACCCAAGAAAGCCTGGGAGGAAGATAAAATTCCATTGGTTGGACCCACAAGACCCTGATTTTAAAGTGGCGAAGGAACTTAAGCTTCTGACCAGGAAACATGCAGCAGAATCTTCATTTGCGCTCAAGGTGAATTCTCGCATATCTTTAATATCCACTGTGTATCTTATTTTCTGTGGAAACCTTCCTGTTATTTTTTTTTCCCTTTTTGTTTGGTTGTTTATGGGTTGTGCCTCCCTGCCACTTTCACAATACAATTTGCTATGTTGCTGTCTAAAAAGAAAAGGATAAATTACACTTTTCACCACCTATAATTTGACTAAATTTCACTTTGGTTCTTATTGTTTGAATTTGAACAATTTGGTCCTTACACTTTAAGGGCAGTTTCAATTTGATCATTCTGTCCAAATGACTGTCAATTTCTTCTACATGTACATCTTAGGAGAGTGACATGTGTAACAAAATTGCCAATTTCAACGTCCAATTTAAATGGAAGGACCAAATTGAAACTAGGCTGAAAGTATAGTGACCAAATTGTTCAAACAATATAGAGTAAAATCAAATTTAGATCAAAAGTGTAATTTACCTAACCTCATGGGGTTGGCCCCGTGGTCAATGCTTGGGGCCGGGGTTGTGGTTCCTTCAAGATCTCAGGTTCGAAACCTCCTAGGTGCAAATAATTTTTTTGGGGTTAGTCCATATAGGGCAAAGCCCTTGGTTTAATTGAGACCCCCGCAAGTGGACGGTGGGATTGGTCTTTCAGATTAGTTGGTTCAATGGGCCGTATACCGAGTTATCAAAAAGAAAAGAAGTGTAATTTACCCAAAAAAAAAAGTAACCTGTGATTTTTGTTTCTTGTATTTAATTATTTAGTATTTTTTGTCTCAGGTTCAACTAGCACAGGAAGAGAAGCTTGCTAACAAACAGGCGGAGACTCTGAAGGCGAATTATGAGAAGTACGAGCTGATAGAGGGTGTTCTAAATGATGGAAGTGCAAATCGCTTGGCACGCCATTATAACATGAAATCATTGTGAGTTCTTGACTGGTTTCCTGATAAGTTTTTATCAGTTTGGACTAAGAAACAGTAAACTTGTGTTGTTTAGTCAGTTCTGACATGGTTAATGGTTTAGTTAATTACCTAGTTTGCTTTTGTTCTTTGTCTAGTTCTTGATTAGAGTTAGTTTTCTGTAGTTAAGACAGTTGGGTTGTTTTGAAAGGCGAGTGTACAGCAATGGTGGTGGAAGGTTGTTGAAACTCTTTTCTAGAAGACTTGAATGGAAGCTATTTTCTATCATTGCATGTTGATTTTTTTCTCCAGCATGAAGAGAAAAAAGCATGTTAACAACTTCAGTTATTTAACAATTCATTCATGAAGAAACAGAGTGATTTCTTAACAACAATACTTTCCATTGGAACTATTGTCCCTGCATTGTGATGGTGTCTTTAATTAGGTGTAAATCATTGTAATGCTTTTGAGACCTGCTGAGTATAAGTTGTTCATAGTTTTATTGTGAGGTGAATGTTTTGCATTTGAATGAGTATTTTGCATAGTCGGTAATTGATTTTTCATTTCAAAAAAGTATATTTGGAATTTTGCTGCCTTAAATTGGGTATAGTATTTGTATTCTCTTGATTTTGCAAGTTTTATCCCTGAATTGAAAATTTTACTTTCTTTAAAATAAAAATAGTGAAATTTCACTGTCTAATAGTCAAAATTCACTATAATGGAGCCAACTGAAACTAAGTTTCATGTTTGGTTTGCATGATGGACTCCCCTAAAAGAACTCTGGCACGCATGTAAATGAGGTGCCCTACCCAATTGAGCTATAGCCCTTAGCGCTTGTGTTCCCCATTTTATCATGCAGAGAATTTCTTATCAAGATGACTATTACATGATCTAACATTAAAGCTGCTTGATTGGTATTAGGTAACCATATATTCGAATCTTTTGAGCTATAAGCCCCACCCTATCTCCACTGAATCTATTTCGGGGAGTACTCTAAAAAAATGAACATTTTCTCTCTCAAGCCATTTCGAGTTAACAAGATGTGAAAGCATTTCGAGATGTACAGTGAGAGAGAAAGAATGTCATGATTGAAGTTTTAATTCAATAATAATAGGAACGCCACATTCATGTGGGTTTTTCCATTCCAATCAAATGCAATCAAGTATGAGTTGGTGATCTAAACATATATGGATAGAACTTACAAAGAAAACTCAAAAAACAAGTAACTTTTGTTGGGCCTTTATCATTTTTGTAGGTTTATTGGAATTCTTATTGGTTGGAACTTCTACGATCTTACAGAGCCTGCTCATATATGGCATGATTGTCAATTTTTTTGGGAAAATTAACCCCCCTGCCAAAAAAAAAAAAAAAAATCTAAAGTTTGACTCTTGTAACAAAATAAACATTTAGTCTTTTATTTTGTCAGTTTAAATCTTAATTTTTATTTTTATTTTTTTTATTTTCAATCTAAACCCTTACCCTATTTCCAATAAGTAAATTTGATAATAAAATATATATATATATATATATTAGTCATTAAACTCAATGTAAGTGTACATAAAATGTCCAAAATACCATTTTCCATTAAATTTAATGTCTAAAATACTATTTTTTGGTCAGTTTTACGTAATGAAAATAAGAAAATGGTATAAATTGAAAACAAATTAAAAGTTTAGGATTTAAATTGATAAAATTAAAAACTCAAGATTTATTTTGTTAAAAGGGTCAAACTCTGAGATTTTTCTTTTTTTATAATTTCCCTCAATTTTTTTATAGGAAAATTGCAAAAAAACCCCAAGATTTAACCTTTTATGAAATTAAAATGTGTTTCTAATTTTTATAGTTTAAACTTTAATTTTCAACAACCTTGGCATCTATTTATATCTGCTAACAATTTATATTGACTAACCCAAGGAAATTGGATAGCGTTGGGTTGGGTTCGGTTAGGGTGGGAAAGGGAAGAGAAAGGGGATGGGGTTAACAATCAACTGTGATTGGTACCCCCAGTTTCCCCACCACCACCACTCTCTACACACACGCGAGGTTGGTTATTGAAAAAAAAAAAAAAATTTGTGGCCAATCAGACCCCACTAGGAGTCCTGGGGTCACCCCAGTGGGGGTCTGAAACATTATGCGTTAACAATTTATATTGACTAGCCTAGGGAAATTGGGTTGGGTTGGGTTGGGTTGGGTTGGGGTAGAGTGAGAAAAAGGGAATGTGAAGGGGCTTTAATTGATTGGGTGTGTCTACAAAGTGTTGGCCAATGGATTAAGTGTCACTGTTGTGCCTTAATTTGAGATATATTATGGACTTATTTTTATGGTCTCACACATGCATGGTGGGCAAGGATCACTTTGGGAGTGTGAGGGTTATTCCTAAAAGGGGTCCCAAACATTTTTCAAAGAAAAAGAGAAATGATTAAGATCTCTATCCCTGCAAGACCTCCATAAGACCCTCACAAATCTAACACATACATGAGTAGACTCCATACATACATGGAGGGCAGGATCACTTTATAGTGGATGGAGTTGTATTGGTTAGCCAAATAGCCCTCGATGTAATAGTTAAATTTTTTTATTAAAACCTTACATTATTGGTGTAACTTTGAGAATTGAACTCGGACTTTTTTATGACTTGAATAAAATATTTTTTGAAGTTTGAATTAAATTAGAGTAAATTTGGACAAAGACACTAAATAATTTGAGCAACTCAAAACCCAAATAATATATATATATATATATAAATATTAAATGTAAACATAAATTATTAGTCACTGAATGATATTAAAGTAAATCATTAGATCATATTGAATATTGAATATATATTATAAACACAGGGTAAATTACATTGACACCCCCTGAAGTGTATGTTTATTACAGTTCCCCCCTCACCTCTTGAAAATTACATCTCCCTCCTTAAGGTTTAAAGTTTCAATACAGATTGCTTTCTCCAGCAATTTAACTTTTCTAAATATCAATTTTGTCCTCACTGGGTAAATTACATTGACACTCCTCACATTGTAGAAATTACAATCCCCTCCCCAAGATTTAAAATAGCATTACCAATTGCCCCCTCGGTTAGTATTAGTTGAAAAAAAAAATTCATTGAAAAAAAAAAATTAATTGGAAAAAAAATAATTTGAAAAAAAAAATTAATTAAAAAAATTTGTTGGTCAAATTTTAAATTTTTTGTTTAAAAACCAACGTAAACTCATTTTTTAAATTTATGTTTTTTTCTCAAATTTACAAATTGAGACAACCATTTATAAACAAAAAAAATTATCAAACAAGTTTTTATGACAGTTTTTAAATCTTCCATTTTTTTATTTTTTCACTCAGAAATTATAAAGACCATCATAGCGGTACATAGGTTCTTCAGTTTTTATCTCTCACATTACATAAATTATTTGCTTTTTATAAAAGAAAAATGTAAATAGAGTTTAATTTTAACAAATTAATTAACTTAGTTGTTCAAACAAACAAACAAACAAAAATCCTCAAATTTATATGCAATTTAGACAATTTAATCAATTCGAGTCTAACTCGAGTTAGGCTTGGATAGATGACCTCATATTATAATACAAGCTTAAACAGGTTTAGATAGTTTTCAACACAATTTAAATTGAACTTGAACAACTTTTTTAATCTGTCTGAACTTGTCCGAGTTACACCTCTATCTTCAGCAATGCTACATCCACCGAATATGATCAAAATTTTGATATGATATGATGATGCACTCCAATCAGTGTTTTGGTTTGAATTTTTTGAATTAAATTTTTTGAAAACTGAGTTTTTTAGTTTTTGTGTTTTGTTGTTTTTAGTGAATATTTTTAAAATTTTAAATATTTTTTTTACTTTTTTAGATGTACCTTACTTAGATGTATCTAAAAAGTAAAAAATTTGTGAAAAAATATTTTTAAAAATTAATAAATACATAAAAATACAAAAAAATGTACTGAATTCTCGTATTTTTGGTATTTAGTGAATTTTTAAAAGATTTTTTTCAATTTTTTTTTACTTTTTAGGTATATTTATGTTAGGTATGTCTAAAAATTAAAAAAATTGCTCAAAATATTAAAAAAATTCAGTAAAAACAAAAAAATACGAAAAATAAAAAAATACAATTTTCTGAAAAGTATTTTTAAAAAATGATAACCAAGTATGCTGAATAGTTTTCGTCTAGCGTATAGTAAATCTTGATCAAGATTTAGTTGTCTACCCATCCACCCAGTCGTCCACCAAAGGTCAATTTCAAAAATTGATAAAATGTTAAACGCTCCTTCATTTTGATGAAAAGTCTGCCGTTTCCTTTTATTAATATCACTTTGATGAGAGGATTGGGACACCATTTTCACTAAATTTTCATCAAATTTAAATTTGATAAAAATATGAATAAATGTTAGAGATGGTCTTGAGTGGTTCCACTTTTCAAGAGATATGATGCATCTTCTGGAGAAATTATTCATTGCCCCATGGGCAAATCTAGGTGGTGCCCCAATCAGAATATTAGTGGTTGAAACAGTAGGTCTCATTACTTGTTTTTGTCTCTTTTGAAGAAACAATTAGACACTTGTTTAAACATGAATGGTATGAAGTAATGCTCTTAAACTATCAAATAACTTCTCATGTTTGTGAGGCGGTGTGGTGAATAGTGGAGATCAATTAAGAGTTTGATTTATATTCTAAAAAATAAAAGCCCTCGTTTGGCATGAGGCTTCTTTAAGGTTGGGGGTTAATTTAGCCACAAAAAAATAAAATAGGCTAAAAAATTAATAAGATAAAATGTCACATCCAAACTATAATCATTTCACTTTTTCTCTTATAAAAGTCAAAAAATCCAACCCAAACAAATTTTTTAGGCTAGACAGCCTCTTTTAAGACATGCTATTCTAATAACTTTTTAACTTTTTGATTAAAATATATGAGATAAAAAAAATTAATATGTTTGAAATTATTTTTGACTTTTTATAAAAAGATGTGCAAAAAGTAAAGAAAAAAAGAAAATTTTAACTGTTTGGTATAGGTTATTGACTTTTTTATTCTTTAGTAACTTTTTGATTTTTAAACTAAAATATTAAATTACTAAACAAAAGTTAAAAAACTAAAAAATCAACCTCTTTTCCGAACAAAGTCAAAAAAACAAGAGTTTGAATTTAATTCCAATAGTAGAGAATATGGATAATACATAGGCTAATAGCACACTAAAAAATAAAATATCTTAAAAAGTTAATAATATAAAATGTTACATCTAAAATATAATTATTTTATTTTATTTCTCACAAAATTATATAAAAAAAAA